AGCGATCCTTCTGCCTCAGCCTCCCGAGTAGCTGGGACTACAGGCATGTGCCACCATGCCCGGTTAATTTTTTCTATATATTTTCAGTTGTCCGATTATTTTCTTTCTAATTTTAGTAGAGACGGGGGTCTCGCTCTTGCTCAGGCTGGTCTCGAACTCCTGAGCTCAAACAATCCGCCTGCCTCCGCCTCCCAGAGAGCTAGGATTACAGGCGTGAGCCACCGCGCCCAGCCAAGAAGTTTGGGTTTTTATCCAAAGGGCAATGAGAAGCTATTGAACGATTTTAAGCAGGAGCCACAAGACCAGACTCGCATTTTAAAAAGCTCTCCAGAGTTCTTTCCCTGTCAAGAATGGATTAGAGGGGAATGATACTGGGTGCAGGGCATCCCTTGGGCAAATGTCAAGAATGCGGAGGTGGGAGAGAGTGGAGCACGTGTATTCATCCTATGGTAGAGATGCCGGTGTGGCTGGTCTAGGGCAGTGCCAGGGGATGGAAGTGAATGGAGATGTTGCAGAAAGAGTTAGGAGGTAAAAACTACAGGACTTGGTAAGTGACTGACTGAATGAAGAAGAGCAAGGCTGAAAGGGAGCAAGTCTGGAAGGACACAGAGTTTGGGCACATTGAGCTGAAGCACTTTAGGTGACGTCAATTCTGCCATGTAGGCTCATGCACTTTTTCCTGTTTTAGATGGAAAGTGAGGTTCAGAGGAGTAACTTGCCCAGAGATAAACAGCTAGAAAGTGGCAGAGATAAAACTGGATCTCATTTATGTCTTATTGAAAAAACTTCGCACTTTTCCCGTGAGTGGCCTGTCCCGGCACCTCAGGGCACTCCCAGAACGCTTGTCCCATCTGCAGGGCTCTGGACATCTAGGTTTCTTTCTCTACCACTACTTTATTGAAGCCACAGGCTCAGTGCTTCTACCTGCATTTTCATCTCTCTGGATAAATGAAACTCAAGTGCCAAACAAGTCATTTACAATCAAGCACTTTTGGAACACAACCTGTCTGAAAGTTGGGAACAGCCTGTATTCTTAGGCTCAGAGCTCTGCCCAGACTCTTCCTCTTAAAGCATTAACAACTTCTTAAAACGGCTCTTGACATCCAGAAAGCGTTACACACTTTATTGTTGAATCGCTGCTGGAATAAATAATTTTCTTTCATAAGTAAGTTTGACAGATGCATTGAGTTCACTTGCTTTCTATCCCATAACACCACGAGTCCCTAAGTGCCAATAAAAAGGGCTTTGTTACTTATTTAATGGAACTTATTAAAATTCAACTTAAATTTCAGAGGCCCTTATTAAACAAATCTTTACCTTGAATGGGAAAAACTCAGCTTAATAATACGGTTGTTAAATAGCCAAGCAGATGGAACAACTAATTATTTCAATCTGAATTCACTAATCTCTGAATTAGTAAAGAACTCATCAGAACCACTGCCTTATACCCAGGTCTGGTTTCCTTGGCTCAGATCTATCTGAGTACATTTTGCTTGAATTTGAGTTCCTCCTTGCTGTGCTTGTTACCTCTTGAATGAGAAGTGCTCAACTTCGGGATGGATTATTCACAGATATTGTGATGATCAGTTACGTAACTGGCCACCAAAGTGCCGCGGCAGAAATCTGACCGCAGCACTGACACCTACTACTCCTGGTCCATAACCCTTTCTCTTTTTCAACTCAGCTGTCACCTAAGCCCATCAGGGATCCAAGAGCATTTATTGGTTACAGCACATTGTTGAATAATACTCCTCAGGAAGTGTCCGGCTTCACCTTTTCCTTCATCATTTCAGACAGCCGATCCTACTCTTTTTCACTAATTGGAGCCACAAGTCCAGGGTTCTATAATGTAATGCATATCACCCCATCAGCACACAGAGCCCACACTTAGTACACGCTAGACTCTTATTGCTCTCTGTCCCTAAGATGCTTATGATGGAATATCAAGGTTACTTTAAAAATTCTAGAATTTGGAAATACTTGGCTTACTTTGACTAAATTCATTGCTCCTCTCATGACTTTAGACTCACGTGTTTGCTAATTTAGGAACCCCTCTGTGAACATTAAGCGTTTCTTCTCTTTATAGTTGCTTTCCTAAAAGTCTCAGGCACCGAGTGCAAGCTGAATGTTTTTAAGTGTCTCAAACTAGTCCTGAAG